AACGTCTCATCCTAAGGTAACGAAAACACAACGTTACGTATTTTCAGGTGATTAAACACTAAAGAAAACAGACTGATTATATATTTTATTCAATTTCTGCCACTATATCCCCTTAAATCCTACACTGGATCTTAAATGGTCTATAAAATTTGGTTTTCAACATAGCACAAAGCATATGTGAGTATAACAGGAAAGGGGAAAGTTGACCGAAGTTCTGCCAAAGGTTGTTCAGCTGTTAATGGAGCACAGAGAGAAAAGGGGCGGGACTTAGGAAGGGTCAGTTAAAGGAGCACATTAAAAACTAAGAGACACTAAATGCACACATAGCTGTGGTTAAGAGATCCTACAGAGGTACATGTTTGCAGGAGTATATGTAGAAGACGGACAACACACACACACACACACACACACACACACACACACAAAGATGCACCCTCTGATATCAACAATAGGTCCTGTACGACCTTCTTGTTCTTTTGATCGTGTGTGTGTGCAGTGATAGAGAGATCAGCTGTAAGTGAAACAGACAAGGCTGATTGCTGCAAGACAGTGATTCATCCAGTAACACACATGCACACACACACACACACACACACACACACACACACACACTCACAGAGCGCTGAGTTCACCAACAGAAAACTCAGAGAAGGACAAATGCTTTGAGGTTGAAAATAATATTTTAGGCAGAGACAAACAAATCCACTCTCAGTCTTTGCTCATTGTCGCATCTGTTCATAATGTTTTCTCTCCAATATTGAAAACTCTTCCTGGTTTTAAAAACCGTCAGATGGTTTAACTGTGAGTGACTCACTTGACATTGTGTTGAATAAGAGAGCACTGAGTGATGGGTCTGACGCTTCACGGAGATCATCTGTCTCTCAGTGATGAGGTGAAGTCAGCGGAGAGAGCTCTGCACAAATCACCGTTAACTTCATGATGTCATTTAGATTTTTTGGATCATTCGTCACTCAGATCTGTTTGTTTTATAATTGTGTGAACAAAACAAATCACATGGATGTTGTCTGATCTTGTCAGTTCTGATTAAGGCCACTTCATAAATCAGATACAGGTCTGATTGTATTTTTGAAAATGTGACCTCAGTCTGAGCAGTCAGATCTGAATGTATGTGACTTTCCATCAGTCACAGTCGGCCTGCCTGAGCTGAGGGTTTTGCTGCGAGAGTCTTGAGGAGAAGCGCTGACAGATGTGGTTAGGAGTTGTCTTTGACATCCTGAAATTTGGGATGAAATCTGTCTCAGTGAAGCCATTCAGGTCGGGATCCACCACTCCTGACTGTGACTGTTTCCACACACACCTCTGTACAGAAGTAGCTGCATCGCTCCACAGAAAACCTGAATTAAACATTTGTCTCTCCTCCTCCTCGTCCTTGTTATCATCTGCTCATGAATTCATTGCTTTTCAACTTAGAAATGAGAAAGTAAAAACACACTGCAGTGGCCTCCATCTTTATTTCTGTGCGACAGCGTGCTGCATGTGCTGTCTGTCATTTTCTTTTGTGCATGCAGGTCAGTTTAGGACTGAGACCAGTTCACACTGGAATCGTATACACATTTAAAAAATAAGATGAGCAGCCAAACCAAAAAATTCAGATCTAAGCAATAAATCCAAAGTGAGCACTGATTAAAATCCAAATGGAAGTGACAACTGTGCTCTCAATGTACAGAGAGAAACTTTTCTATTGACTTGTTTTTGGAATAATGTAGATTTCAAAAGAATACATAAATACTTTGATTATCAGTTACTCACTGTGTGTTACCTTGAATTCATAATTTTGCGCAAACTTCCATCAACAAAATGGTTTCAGGTTTCAGTTATAGTAATAAAACATTAGTTCAACCAACAGTAACCTTTCTGTTCTCATTCCTTTAAGGATCATTCTGACTAATAACGATATAAATTCTGTAACACCATGAAACTGCAGTATGCTCTGAGATCGTACCGGTAAAATGTCTTACTGTTCCAACCCTACTTCATGATAAACACAGATTCCATTCTTCATGAACTGAATCAAACAGGATCCACGTTTAACAACAGCAAAACTATATCCAGGTCTCATTTATCCACTCATTTACTCTGTGCTTCCCAGACACATGCATTTTCAGTGATACATTACAATTAAAAATATTTCTGCCTACGAGTAGCTCGCCCTGAGTGTGCCTTCAGCTCCGCTAGAGCTCAAACAGACGTGCTTACCCAGGCACACTGCTCAGCTGTGCATTAGACTGTTTGTACTGATGTGTTTTAGGAGAAATGCATGTACTTGGGAACTATTTACTATTTACTTACGGCCTTGGCACGTGTCTTACGTCGATCACTACCACGTTATTTTAATATTTTGCATCACATGTAAAAGTGAGCGTCTGATGTGTTGCTCCTCCTCATTTCAAGTCGCTATCATTAACTTTTAACCTGCAAAGGCGGCAGTGCCGCAACATTGTAGGAATTTATGAAAGCAATTAAAACAATATTTATTTTATTTTAATTAATTATTTTAATTACTCTATTGAATGACCCCAAAGCATGAGCAAACGGGCTGTGTCACTTTGGATCAAAGAGATGCTGGCGCGCTGACAGTGACAGGGCGCCCTCTGCTGAGAAGAGAGAGAGGAGAGGAGATGGATTGTAGGTCTGTTTGTAAACGGGGCTTCTCTGACAGTCATGTATTTTCCCAAAAAACATCTCTTAATGCATGGTAGAGCGCTGTTTTTTTTTCCTTTTTTTTCCTCAAAATTGCCTTGATATCCAGCAAATCGCCTGGCAACCCTCCAATCGCCAATATACGATTTGATCGCTGATCGTCCCAGGCCTAATTAACACGTTGTTATTAAAGTGTAGGAAAGCACATTGCTGTCATCAGATGAGTGATATCCTTGTTCGGCTCGTTTTCTGTAACCATAGTAACGTTAGCGTACCAGCATGATGGAATTAGCAAGCTAGCTAGCTAACTAGCCAGCTGTGGTTTGCTTAAAACACTGAGATCAACAGGGACAGGCCTTTAATTCCTTTCACACAAAACTGTTGCTCAGCAAAGATCAGGATATACAGTCAGATTGTTTATTTGAAGCATTCTGAATATTACTTGTTTAAAACTTATGCTTCAGGTAATATATCAGTTATGAGTCATTCATTTGATCTACTCCTGACAGACAGCACATCAGAGAGAGCGTTACAGCACCCGTCATGCCGACACAACACCACTTTATCCTGTTAAAACAATCCTCACAACTTAGATTAATTTTTGTGAAAAACCTTTTTGATCTGAGGACCCTTACAGACTGAAGGATTATGAATAACTTACAGTGTAATGGAGGAACGGACACATAATTTGAGGTAGCCGACAACCTGGCTTTATACATCTGAAGAACTATAAAAAATGAACTGTTTGGCACCAGACCAGGCCTCGAATTGAGACAGGCCTTTATTTGTCAAAATGTGTAGCCACACCGGGCTAGTGAAAGGGACTGGGCTTTTAATTGAAGTCTTGCTTTATCTTGTATCTTGCCCTCCGCAAATTGGGGTTTGTGATATTAGTCAATGAAAATAGGATTTAATTGAATTGTGTGTGAGTTTGTAAACAGGTGTTTACTTTAATTCATAATGAATGTTTGTCTTTGGATTCATTATTCACTGTGGAGACGTGAGAAATACAAAGTTTTCTTCACAAAGTCGACTTAACAAGCAGCGATGATATTGATAATTGATCTATAAATGGTCGTTTTGTTTCCCCTTAAAGCTGCTGTTCTTGCTCTTAGAAAATGCGCCCGGGCTGTTTGGAGCGATATTTTCTGAACGTGTTTATTTTGGGTTGTAATGAAAGTCAAAAATGGAGAGAGCAGTGTCAAAATGTTTATTTACAGTTTATTAGAAGAAATAAAACGGCACATGCTTTATTTTTTTATGGAGAAACTATTTTATGAGTGACAGACAAAAACTTTTCGTCCTGGAAATATGAATAAGACTCAGAAGAGAGTGAAACCTAAATCCCCGGCAGATTGAGCCCCAGTCTCTGATTCATATGGTCTCTATTTATCTATACTTCCTCTAACTCACACTTCAATTTTCTCCTGACACCCATCCTCTCCGCCCATCCTCGTATGGTTATTACTGCACCTTCTCTATATCTTCACCTTCTCCTCTTATTTCTCCTCAAATATTTGCACCACCTTGTCTTTCTCTTCCTCTCCTCCTGATCCTTTCCCTCACTTTCCTGTCCTGCTCTTCCTCCTCCGACCCTTCCTCCTCTTCCTTTTAATAAATCTCTACCCAAACTCTTTCCTCTCCTCTCATTTCCTGGGCTTGAATCCCATCTTCCTCCTCCTCCTCCTCCTCCTCCTCCTCCTCCTCATCAAAATCATCTTAATCTTTCTCTCCCTAATCTCCTGCAATATTCTCACCACCTTTTCATTTCCTCCTCTGCTCTCCTTCCTCCTTCCCCTCCCCCCGTCTACCTCCTCTCCTGAAAACCTTGATTTACTACATTGCTCTTCTCATCGGCCTGCCTCCCTTCCTTCCTCTGTCCTCCCTCTTCCAGCCTCCTCGTAATCCCTCTCTCCTCCTGCATCACAGGTGAATCTCCTTTAGGGAGCGGGGAGCAGTGTGGCGAAAAATGGTTCTCCTCCTCGTCTCTTTCTTGGCCCACATATCCCTCCCTCCCACTAATGTGTTTTCTCTCTCCTGTGTTCCTCCCCTCCTCTTCCTCTCTCCATTAACCTCCATCCTCCCTCCCTGTCATCCTCCCTCCCTCCTAACTCACCTCCACTCTGCTCCCCACTTGCCTCCCTTCTTTCCTGACGTTTTTCCTCATTTCCCTCCCCTCGCATTATCCCTTCATCCCTTTTCTCCCTTTCCTTACCTCCCCCTTTCCCTCCCTCCTGGCCTCCCCTTCCCTAAAATAATTTCCCACAATCCCTCCCCTCCTGTCCCTCCCCTGCCCTCCCCTCCCTCCCTTGTTCCTCCATCTCTGTCTGGACCCACAGAGCAGCGCGAGGATCAACATCTCAGAGGGCTCCTGTCCAGAGAGGATCATCACCATCACGGGTCAGACGGACTGCGTGTTCAGAGCCTTCACCATGATCACGTTCAAACTGGAGGAGGTAGATACCACACACACACACACACACACACACACACACACACATGCACACGCACAGCTCTGAGCTCCCAGTGGTGTTCCCGAGCTGCTCTGAGTGAAGTGCCTAACCTTTACCTCCTCTGCAACATGGCTGCTCTCTGCCAGGGAGCCATTTATTATATGTCTGATGTGATCGTTTGACCTCACACACACTCACCCAAGCACACACACAAGTCATTGTGTCTCAGGGATATGACATGAACACTTGGCTCTCTGTCCATTTCTTTTCTTTTTTTTTTATAATTCATAGTTTTATTGATTTTGGTTAGATTGACAGTTCTACACATCAAATGAGACGTTCAGTCTTGACAACCAAAAATAAAAATACAGCTCAAGCAGGGCGGGTACTTCACAAGTCCCAGTCTGCCAAAAAAACAATCAAGATATCAGAATTAAATCTGAATAAATTAACACATTAGAATAAATTTTTAATAATACAAAACATAGGCAGGGCAAGACAAAACAAAAGCACACACTTCCAGGCCCCCAGACAATTCAAAATAATTCCAAAAATCCCCCCAGATTGGTCCCTGAGTACCGTTAGTCATCCAGTCAGTCAGACCATTCTTTTATTTCTGGGGGTTTTGTTGACCTCCACTACCTGAGTATTGTTCCAGCAGCTGTAACAGGGTGTCCACGGGGTCTTAAAAAGTATTAAAAAGTCTTAATCGCGACTTTATGAAGTATTAAATTTTCTTATCCATGAATGTATAATTTATTTTCCTCCTTGCGACTATTACAAACAACGATGTGTAGGTAGGCACACTAGGACTGCCACTCGGGGCCATGCGTGTACCTGTGCCACATCACGCGACGGTGCACGTCCAGGCGCCAAACAGAGGAGCAAAAGACAATAAAAATTCCTTCTCATCTTATCTGAGTTCTGTTGTATGTTTGTGCTCCATAGATTTAGTTGCAAACAACAACTGTTTAGTAAGTTAAAGATGCGTTGCTGCTTACGACAGCTTGAAGTGGCGATGAGGTCTTAAGGGTTTTTTGGAAGTTCTTAAAAAGTCGTAAAAAGGTATTGAAATTAACCTCAGGATTCCTGCATATACCCTGTGTAATGACTCCAGACAGAACAACTGAGAGTTCATCCCTCCACACATTATTCTCCATCCATTTCTTTGTGGATGGATTTGTGTTGCATCCTTCCTTCATTCAGAACTTGTTTTCTTGCTTCTACAATTTAAGGAACATTAAACAAAAATTCAGAAGTTAAAGATGTGGTTTAAAAAAGTAGCTCATACACATAAACTCTTGATGTTATGTTTATTTTAAATAGGTCATCAGGTTATATATTTTTGGTTTGGAGTCCTGAACAGGAGTAAATATAATTTTTCACTTTTTATCATAATGAGGATCGTGACATCGACAGTCCTGTTTCTATGGTTTAATTTCTGCAGCTCAAAGCTCTTGGTTAAGGTCGGGGGAAAGATGGTGATGTTGTTAATGTTTTAATCCCCAAGATTTCAGTCCTGGTTGATCTGTAGGTCCCTGTGGTTGCCTTGGTAACAGCAAATGTGGTTAAATACTACAGCAACCAGCTACTTTGTCAGAAATCCATCATTAGAGCAACAGGTGTTTGTGTTTACAGTGCAGCCAAACAAACTCAGGTGGTTTTCATAAAGACGTCGGTCAATAATAATTATACAACCTCCATCTGATTTCATGCTTCATTCAGACAGAAGTTTTCCACACAACAGCAGGGTGCAGTAAAAGGAGTTGGTTATGTTGCTGCGGAGTCGCCTGCAGCTCTTCATTTAACAGCTCACTGTGGCTGCTCCTGATTTTTCAATTAGTCCGTGACAACTAAATGTCCATTTGTTCCCATTCTCAGGTCGTCAAATAGCAACATGTTGTCGCACCCCTCAGCGTACAGAAGCACAAGGCACACTTTAGCAGCTGTATGAGACACGCCAGGCTTCTAACTAACTCCAATATGAAGTCATCCACAGCAATATTAGGGTGATGCGTTTTTGCGCCCTCAAATTCATTGTTTTCAATGTAGAGGAACGCTCAAACACCAGAGCGATGCACTCTGAGATAAACCAAGTTCAACTTTTGCAGCAGCATGCACTGCAAGTCATTTGAAGAGAAACAACCAATCACAGCCGACACTGGACAACATGCTGCATCATGTTAGTGCAGGGCTACCCAGAGCTTTACATCTGTCCCACAGACAATAGGCTTACACACTTATAAACAGCTCCTGGAAGAAGATCAGCTCTGCTCTCAGGATTTCAGGTAAACAGGCTTTGACACGGTGCTTGTTAAAGTTGCGCCAGCGCCCGACCTGGTGTTTTCCAGGTGGTTAAATACGTGGCATGTGTTTGGTCCCTCAGACGGTCAGAGCAGCTGACCTGGTATAAAGACGAGGAAAATCTGCATGATGAGGTCATGGTGGACGGGTCGGTCAAACCAAACACAGGCCAGGTCCCAAGTCAAACCAAATGTCAACATCATTTTAAAACAAGCCATGATCTTTTCCAAAACCCAACCAAGTAGTTTTGGTCCCCAAACTGAAGTTTCATGTGAACACAGAAGTTTTTGAATGTAATGAGTTGAAACTGACGCCTCTGAAACTGACACTAGAAGGTAACCTTGAGCGTCATAGTTTGAAGCGTACATACATCCAATGACCAAGCTGCTGCATTTGACGTGCTGACGTAAGGACATGTTGCAGTGACACACACACATTGTGTTTCTTGTGACTGCTTCACAATAAAAGCTAAGGAGTATTTTAATGTGAAGCAGCAGCAGTGGGAGATGTTGTGTTAGCATTAGCAGTAATGTGTTCAGGCTCTGATCCCGCTGCAGGTGAGTGATCAGTAAACAGTCATCACAAATCATAAACAGTAACACTGGACAACATGCTGCATCATTTCCTGTCAGTCCCTCGTGCTTATAAATGCAATGTGAATTCACTGCGGTGATGGCGGACTCCGCCACTGACAATGAAGAACCCTAGTATTCTACTGGAAGTTTCTTGAGTTCAATTATGTTTTCTATGAACTTTATGATTGAAATGTGTCCTGTAGGCCTGGTGGATGAAATGCAACTTGGTTGCTAAGAGTTGTGTGTTTGACAATTTGTGTAATTAACATAATAAGCTGATTATTTACACACACACAAAAAAAAAATACAGAAACTGCTTTGATTTAGCTTCTGATTAACATAGAAAGTTGATTTGAGAGTCTAAGTCCATGTTTGTGATGATCAGAAATTCACCTGTTACCATGGTGCGGTCAAGTGATCTTTCCTTATTAGCATAAATTATGTAAACAATCAGGTCAATATCAGAAAATAGCTATAGTTTGGCTTTTAGTCAACTTAGAAAGGTGATCTTAGAGTTTAAATTTATGTTTTGAAATCCATCTTTTGCCATAACTAAATTATGCAACATTTCCTCATTAGCATAATTAGTATAGATATATATCATATTATAGGTAGGGTTATTATAGATATGTTATATTAGTATAGGTAATTAATTACAGAATGCAAAAATGTTGAATGTCTACTGCTGACAAACTGCCAACTGTCAATAGAATCAAAAACAGAATTTGACTCTCAGTAAAATCTTTTGGATTATGACACTAAATATCATAACCAACACTCACCTGATGGTACACTATGGAGGATTGTCGGTTACTGTTTGAAAACATGCTCATTAGTTAAAGTAAAAAAAAGCTAATTTTGACATTTCGCCTCGCTATATTTATGTCTTTTGGATGTCTGCTGTGTCCTTTCTAGCACCTGCCCACTTCCTTTTATAAAGCCCCGCCCTCACCTGAGTGCTGTCGTGGTACACACCCATAAACATCCCAAACACAGAAAAGAAGAAATTACAGGCAGATGTTTCTGCAGATGGATAAATCCACCTCCACACACTGAGAGTGGGTCACAAGTGATGAGTGAGAGGAGTCACTGCTGTCTGAGTCTATACATTGTTCTTTAGGAAAATCCAGCAGAGTAAATCTTGTTTTTAATAAGACGTGTGAATATTTTCAAGATTTAATCACAACAATAATCTGATTCGGGGCACAGGATGACAACCTGGTCTCCAGTGTCAAAGGCTTGTGCTTATTATGTAGGAGAGATGGCAGCGCTCCGACATGTGATGTGTGTTAAAATACACTCCGTCTTCAAAGATATGACATCAGTAGAAAAAAGAAGTTGTTGTTGATGTTGATACAAAGTGAGATCTAACAAACCCCCTGAACCAGCAGCAGCGTCCTGCCTACAAACTCACGCTGTGCAGCCAAACATGCTTCAAACCCACAGAACTTTCTTTTAATTAGTGTAGATCCAAAGATATTACGTATCTCAGGAAGAATGTTGAGGAAAAGTGAAATATGATGTGCAGTACATCCTGGATATTTCCATTTAATGGAATTATGCAGCCATAAAAAAGACCAACTCTTTGTCATTTAGCGTAAACATTATGTAGCTTCAGTAAAGAGCTGGAATATACTGGAAGAGAATATGTGACATTGTTATCTGAAATAATCTTAAATCATCTGGAGGGGACGACTGGATGTTAAAGGGTTAAAGCAAGAGAGAAAAACAAATCTGAGAGAAATTTGCTGATTTATTTAAGGAGAATTATCGCGGCTCCATGTGGGCTGAATTAACCAGAGTGGTTTTGGCTGTAGAGAACTGGAGCGTCTTGTTTGTCGTTTAGGAACATGTCGCGTGCTGAGACATTAAATCCAGGCAGCTGGTGTTTAAATCTTAGTGATCCTAATGGAAGAAAACGAGATGGAAATAAAATGTGAGAGGAGTGGATGGAGGCAGAATGTGGACAGAGATTTAGAGAGTGGTAGATGGGTTGCTGAAAGGATTAAAATAACATGAAATGAGGGAAGAGTGTGAGAGATGGAGGGAATAAGATGATGAGGGCACACAGGAGATTGGAGACGAAGGGTTTAAAGAGTCGGGAGGATGAGAGAGATGGAAGGA